AGAAGAAGGAGAAAAAGAAAAATGATAATAGAGCAAAAAAATTAAAACGGTGTGCTCGACAGTGGTTGAGTAAACGCACGACTATATATAGGTTTACAATATTATTATAATATTTAATATTATTTCTACATATTTATCAACCCGTAGTTCGCAGGTCGCGCTCGTTCGACCGTATACTACGTATACATATCGTAGGGTATACACCAGATTCGTCGGCGTAGAGCACACGAATATTATAATGTTATAAAACAAAATACTGATAATGGCGAGAAGCGCAATACAATGAACGGCTAGCGGATTTCGGTCGCTTCGATGCGTTGCGTGCTCGTGAAAAGGCGCCCGACCGTTTAATACAATAATTATTATTATATAGAACTCGTCCGTCGTCGGATATCTAATATATATAATTATAACCGCGCGATTCGGGTATTGTTTTCGGCCCCCGAGCACCCAAAGATCGACGGATATACGTCCGTGTACAATAATAATGTAATATTTCGTATACACAATACACCGCGTAAATCTGCGTCTATCAGCCGAGGGGAAGACGACGGATGCGACTGCATAGTATACGGCTCGTATTCTTGCGTCATTGAGCAGCTTGGACTGCTTGGAGCCGCCGCCAACTGACATATTATAATATATACATATATATATTATTATATTTTATTCGTATATTATAAATGTTCGTTCAACGACTGTTGTTATTATGTTATGTTATTTTTAATCTGATATTCGTGTATTCTGGGTTACGAGATAATAAAATTGCGTCACCTTATGTGAACCGATGCGTTGTCGATGTTCGGCGAGGTTCCAAATCGGAATTGTTGCAGTTCATCGGATCGAACGCGCCAACCGTTGGCGGCGGGGGAAAAAACAGCTATTACGGCGGATATTCGACGTTTAAAATACATCATCATTCATCACGTATCCTTATTCGTCAAAACTGCAGTCCAGCTCGCACGAGAGACTCTCCGATTTTACACTTGTCGTAAATGCAATGTAAAACAACAACATTAGCTATTATTTAATAGCTTTTAAGTATATACTTTTATATCTTTACACGTTTTTCGTTCGAGCATTGGATATACGTATAATATAATACTTTAAATACCTTACTAGAACAGTAGAACGGTATCTGTTAACTACATATTATTATATTTATACTATAACTTCATTGTATTTACGCAGCAAAATGCAGCAATACGACATTGTTCAGACTTTCAGTAAGTTATAACTTATAACACTTGTTTAGTGTGTGCTCGAGAGATAAGTTCACAAGTATATATAGGTATATATCACGTATTTATTTCGAAATACCTGCGGCATAATATTGCATGTAAATTGTAAATATCGCGAATTACAACCACGTACCAGATAGATATATACCTACTCTTAAAATATTATGTGCTTTTTAGTTTTGATTTTGCATTTACAAATAGTACACATTTTTACATAAAATCACCAATCGAACATTATAATATTAAGCAAAATATTGATACAATCGTTAAATTTAATCTTTGTTATTAACTTGTAAGTTACATAGTTATTAAGTTATACATGTTTACTTTTATTTAATGCATTTATGCGAAGTATAAATCTATATAGTTTAATTTAGGTAGATATGTAAAAATATTCTTAGTTTTTATTTTAAATTATACATTATTCAAAAAAATTCTCCTTTCACTTACTAAAAACACAAGAAGATGACAGCAATCCAAATACCTTTACATAAATAGATAAGTATAATTGTAGTGAAACAAGTAGGTAATTAAAGATCTAATGACATTTAAGATATTATTATTACAATCTTTGCAAGGACATTAAACCCGCATGACACTTTCAAAATAATCGCATATATGCATAAATCATTAGTCTATTAGATAACTATTTAAACAAATAGGTAGGTACCTACAAACTCGCCCGTAGGGTATGTATTCCAAAAAAAAAAAATTTATAGAGTCCGACGACACGACCTCGTTGATTGCCCAAGGGCTTCATAGATCACGTAATTTTAACAAAATGATTTTTCTAAAAGAATAGATCTTTTAGGTCAATATCGTGTCAATGAATTTAATCAATTATAATTTGTGATAAATTAAATCTGGTACATTTAAAAGTTTTCAACAATAAATTTATTTTCAGATTATATAACAATCTTATGAGACTCGCTTTTCTGTCTACAATTCATTTCGTATATGGGCGCTCTAGACGCAGCTCGGTTTTGTACGAATAATACTCATAATTAGATTATGAAATTAAACAAAACCAAGTTGAATTAATTTCCACGATTAAATTGAACAGTGCGATTGTACTAACATCACCAACGATGTAGAAATGTTATTGCTCTTAAACGTAGAAACCCTTTTAAATAATACCTGTTGTTATTGCCCGTGAGAAAATAATTACACCATTATGTGTAAAGGTTTTAGTAGCTTATGTGAAAAACAAGGTGTTATCGAATAAATAGTATTTAAGTCAATTGTATTTTGTAAGGCAGGTACCGTGATCTTTTTAACTTAGAGTACAATTAAATACTATATTATGCCAAAATTCAAAAATATTATACATTGATTTTAATATGGAAAAATGTTAATTTATAATAGTTGACAAACATTACGGAGGGAAGAGTTTGTATAATTATCAGAAACTGTAGTATTAAATGATATATAATTAAAACGTGAAAGTTTTTATTATAATGATCAACATTTGACAATATTAACTTAAAGCGTACCTTATATAATATATATGCATTAAAATAAAGAATAAGAATATTGAACTGATAAAATATAAGAATTTACTAATTCCTGAAAAATTATCAATATTTGTTTTTATTTAATAGTTTAACTCATTTTTAAAATGATAATAATTTATAATTAACTATTATTTTTTCTAACTAAATTGAATTACTTATTACAAGCTTAAAAAATAATGTTTTTATATTCAAAACAAATGGTTAAAATACCATTTCATGGTTATCAATGATTATAATATAGTAATTGTATTATGTTAAATGTGTATTTATATACATCTAGAATTTAGCTAAAATTAAATACCTAACGTTATTTGAAGGTGGTCGTGTGAACTTAAAATCCCTATAATTTTTTCTCAATATAATATAATGTATTTACGTATATTATTGGTATCATGACAAATAAGATTCGTATAATATGTAAAATAAAAGCTATTTTTAACTTTCAGCTTTTAAATTATTTTAATTTAATTAAATATTTAGTATATAACCATTCAATTCAAATACTCTATGCGTACATAATATATTTACTATGATTAAGAAAAAGTAGCATTATAAATTAATCTTCGAATTCTTATAATATAAATTACAAATGAATGAATAATTAACATTTCCCAATAAAATGCTGCATGCAATACTTACAATAAAATGTACATATTCAAAGCCATACTAACTATATCACCATAATAGACTTACTTAACTTAATTAAAAATGAGAAATTTTGTAGTTTTTACTGTTAATTAGTGCCCTACAAAGTTTGTTATTAAGTTTTATAAAATACTCATAGACTTCATTACAAATAACTCTAATAACAGACCCTATTCAGTGAAAATTAAAAATATCTATATATTGTGTATATCCACCTCATTCAAAAATAATAATAACATATTTGGCTTTAAATTTGTTAAAAAAACTTAAAACAATTCTTAATCACTTCTATTAGTAATAACTAATAATCAAAGAATTGATGATCTGTCACTCTAAGATCTATGGTAATAATAAAAGAAAATGAAACTAGAGTAAAAATAAATATTTTGTTATTTATTATTTTTACGGTAAAAATAGGTAATAAACAGTGATCCAGAGGTTATATTACACTTTATGGGTTTTATGATATACAAATAAATCTACGGTTTATTGTCTCAATTGATAAAACATCCAATGGGACTCGGGAGCAGACGGCATGATGCAACCGACTCAAACTCAGCGGTACGGGGGCGTTGAATACAGATGAGCGATGTGTGTGTCAGAGGGGGGTACTAAAAAATTCACTGACATAATATTATGCAGCATGCGCGGCGGCTTTAGTATACTAAAATATCATATAATAATAATGATAATACTTATACGTGTCTGTCGCAAGTCTCCGAAACGTGCCGGGGCAACGATTTAGTCGGTTTGCTAGCAAAGTTGTGTGTAGGTCTGTTTTGTGAATTTATCACGCGGTTCACCAAGCTCGTAACATCGTCATCATCATAATATAATAAATAATAATTATAATATAATATTTTCATAACGACGTAGCCGATGTCCTCATTTTGAATGTGCTGTGACGACAACGGATTGTATACGCCATACCTACAACTTATAAAAATATATTTATATATTTAACATTATACACTATAGTGTAATGTTTATGACTTACAATTATTAACATCATAAATATATACAACGCTGCTATTAACTTATCCCTATGTGAAATCGCAATGTTTTGCACGAGGAAAAAATATAAAATTATAACAAACGCAGTATTACGATAAATAGTTTGCTTAAACTATATCATTGTGTTACGAGTATTAAATCAAATATAAATCCGATAGTTATTAGAAAAATAAAATGATATGAACATTCAGTAAATTATTTTTACAAGATTATGGTCTATTATATAAATACTAAACAACTACTGTAATTTTATTTTAAAATAAGAAAATTAAAAAACAAACCGAAGAAATTTTGAACAGTTAAATTATCGCATATATCCAACAGATTACGCTTTTCTAAATTATTTTTTAATTTATTGAAAATCAAAATTTATTCATGATATAACACTAATAATAATCGAAAACCAATAAATATTTTGTTATTCTAACTCAAATTTTTATACACATAATATTATAATAGTGAAATATGAAAGATAATAACCGAAACATATTAGATCATCACATCACGTACTTTAATAATTATTATCAATAGATATGTCGAACATAGTGAACTAATTATAAGAGCGTGCAAATCGTTAATCTACTTTAAGATCACACTTCACAGGATTATTTCTGTAGTATGCATCGTCCCCTCCAGGTGCAAATATGGAGTCGTCATCAGCCACGATGATGAGACTTGTCCATCTACTTGAGCGTGAGATCGCTGCTTATCTTTTGATCTGAGATCATGATAATCATGCAACGATGAACGCTTACGATTCGCCGGTTAGTGGGTTGACACTGTTGACAGTCTGAGTGGTCAAGTTTAAACAAAATTAATACAAAATGAAATACGTAACGAACATAAATACATTCTATTATCATATATATTTACATTTTATTTGAGTGTTAACCTTGTTTTTGTTCACAGAGAACATCAATATCAGGTTTTAATTTACTTATAAATTTACACGAAGAATAGCTCGGAGATATTCATTTATATTAAATTTTACAAACGTTACATTTTCAAAATATTTTTTTGTTTTTAATTTTGATTACTTTGGCGAGCCGTACTTGGTCGCCACTGCTTTAGAACGTTAAAAATGTTTTATATCGCTACATAAAAAATATCATATAGTACAACGAACAATCATCCAACGACGGGGTGATGAATTGTATACTGGTTGGTGGCAAATGGCAGGGCAACAACGAACAAAATACCTTAACATGTTAATTAAAATAAATTATAAAAAAAATTATTAACAAATATTAAACTTATTAGCTAATATTATATTTATTTATACGGTATTATAGTTTGTAAATACACGACAATAATAATTGATTCAAAATATAACGCTTAAAGGACACAATAGTTATTTTAAATAGATATAGGTACCTATTAAATTATATGATTTTGTAACGTTGTATTGTAGTTTATACTAATATATTATAATTTATAATATTATGTTATTGTGAAATTAAGTTCCTTGCTTTTATTATACTTGCATAACTACATGATTTTAGTTTCTATACATCAATATTGATTACTTATTGTCCTATTCTGCCATTTACTTAGTAGGTACTCGTAGGTAGCTATAGGTACATTATGATATTAGAATAAACAAAGTGAAAGGGGTGCGTCATTTGTGTTAAATCGAATATTAAAACAAATTATTTATTACGTATTTGTACTCATAATCTCCATAAGCTAGAAAAATTCTAATACAGTCATGTTCATTTGAACAATTGTACAATATTTCATTTAAACACAATAATACGAAGGTCATATTGGTGGTTTTTTTATTTAAATCACAACGCTGTTATTATTTATACTTTCAAACAATAAAATCTACATGAAATACATCGAAAATCATATAAACAAAAAATTAATTAACATACCTACTGGTATATATATATATTATAATAGTATCTGTCCTAAATAAAATAGAAATATTATTCAATAACTCACTACAATTATACACATAAATACAATAGACAAGTCTTCCGTAATTTGTTTTTAAAATTTCAATTTTATTTATGTATGTTATAAACAATAAAACATTAAAATAATAATGTTTTTTACTAGTATTCAACCGTAAGTAGTACCGAGTTCATAAAGACTCTGTAATGGCTGGTGAGAATAGTGTAACTGTATGTTTTAACCAAAATCTATCTTTAATGTACTAAAAAAAGGATCAATAAGAATAAAAACATAATACATATGTAATAAAATTATTGTAGAAAAAATAAAGTCATCGCTTTTTTATCTAATTATTCATTATTTATTTGTTATTTCATACATCAATTAAAAATCAATACGTTCAAGCTCAGATTTTAAAATTGTGAACGGATAAAAGTGTACAGATTACAACCTATTATATATAGGTAAAGTATTAAAGTAAAACGTACTTAGTAATTAGTATATACTACTCTGTATTGACTTGTAACATTCAGTCTTATAATTTAAAATTAAACAATACGAGTATATTATAAAATTGATTTATAACAATAAACAATAATATTTGACTATGTATATAGTATATGGATGGTATATATTTACTTAAAAATAAATCTTTACAACTTATAAGTTATGAATTCTGCAGATTTCATCGAATTTTTCGATGGAAAACTTCTATACTAAAGTATCTACTTAGTGACTATATTTAACAAGTCATTTAAAGGCTAAAAATATTATTCTCCAAAAATATCATTAATCAGTATTCATTATCCATATTCCATATCAAATTTCCAACTTGTTTCAAGAAATTAAAACCAGTATACCTACCTAGATTTCCCGATCCGCTCAAAATCTAAAATTATTTTTTATTATATTATGGTAATTATTCAATATAAATCTTAATATATATCTAACAACTGTCATAAAAAACTGTCACCGTGACCTTTTATCAGTACGGTATGCCCCGTAAAAAAAGAAGTAAAAAGTGCGTTACTTTTAAATTTTATTCAGATAATTATACTATGTCTGATTTTTGTAAATACACTTGGCCCCGGGTTGCCAAGGATGTGAAAAATTGTTGATTATAACTTCACGGCAATTGAACATATAATCGGCCACGTTTTATTTGTTTAAATAAACCGAAATAAAATGGTCGTTAGACGATAGACTAGCTGTATAGGACGATAAATTTCACGTCAGCGTCTACTGCCTGCTTTAAGTGTTGTATTACGTATTATACTATATTATATTAATGTATATCATAATAGTCAAAACCAAACATCGATTAATTTGAAGTAATATTAATATTATTTTTTAATATTATGCACATAGCACATACTTAATCAAATTTGTAATTTATAAAGTAGCCTGAAGATTCCAAAAGTCTATTTACCTCCACGACAAATATAGAAACTTCAATAAAATATATTTAGGTGTACGGTATGTCGGTATGCTTACCTATCTAAGCTATATCAACGTTTCTCAACCTATGGTACGTATATCATTAGTGGTACAAAGAAAGCTAAAAAGTAGCTAGTGAAGAAAAAAAATATTTATCATAAAATAAAATATTATTTTGTTTATTTAATTAACTAAACCTAATAGCCAGTTTTACTCATATTAAAGATAGAAATTTAGATAAACGATAATCTCTATAGTATTGTAATACTTATTGCTTGGTCGATTTATGCTTTAACAAATTGTACGTACTAAATTTTACTTTTATTCCATAAATGTTAATATTCTATATTTCTATACAGAGCTGGTAAAAATGTATTATTGTTTTATAAGCAAATTGTAAGAAATTCCTGTTTTTAGAAATATTTTTGTATAAATATCTACAGAGTAGACTATGGACCACTAAACTATCTAAACCAGCCGATTTTCAAAGATAAATTATAAAAAAAAAAAAATGAATTATTATTTATTATAATTAAGTACATAATTTCAAACTTGTCATTTATTATTTTTAAAGTATGTCCTCCAGAAGCACTCTTCTAGCTTATTTTGTATATTTTCCACTGACCACTACACGGTGTATCACTTCCAAAGGTGTATATTTTCAGGAGTACGTATGGCTTTTTTCGTATAGGCTTCTTTTATAATACAAAACACGGTTTTTCAAAGTCGGTTATACATATTTAATTAATCTAGACCGATGGTATCGAATCGAGGTGTTTAAGATTAAAATGAAAACGAAATGAACACAGTGCAACTACCGAGCTACGTAACTCATTATTTTTGTAAAACGGTTTTATCGCATAAGTGCGTTATTCGCCACTCTAGTCTCTACTGTTCCATGATTTCTAAATAGTACGTAAATGGCAAATTATCTTTGAACTTCAAATATTTAGTAAGAATTCTTATCTTAATTATTTCTAAGAAAATCTATTTTTAAAATCAGCCGTTTCAGTGCTCTACTTTATATATGTTTATATTATATATATTATTTATTATAATATTATATATGTATATAGGTATATATAATACTATATAATATATATATAAATGTGTATGTTATGAACAAAAATATAATTTAATTTTTAAAATATATTATAACAATATATTTTTCATGTGTTAAATGTCATAGGAAATGTCATTAAAAAGGGGTCAGATTCCAAAATTGGTCTATACTTTAGTCTACTTATATATATTATTACACCTATACATATGTAGCGTCGCGCTGGATAGGCAAAGTAACGGCCTATCGAGTTTTAGGATTTCTAACTTTGATTACGAATACAACAACTGTACCTACGATTTAATAATTCTATTCAATTATATTTTCTCCTAATGTTTGTACTAATTTATCATTTTCATAAAAAAATAAAATTACTATCAAACATTATAGTATATATAATATGCTTATTAATTATTATAAAAAACTTTAACGAATCATCCATAACTAGTTACAAAACAATAAACACATTATTTTTAGTGTAGAGTAATCAACATATGCTTTATATACCTACTAAGTTTATAGTACATATTTTTATTTTACCATTTCAAAAGAACTTCTATAGGTATATCGTAGTCTCTACGTTTCTAAATTAATGGTTAAATTTAAAATTTGTGGACATGTGGACATATGGTCTCCAACTATGGGGTAATGCCAAAAAATCTAACCTCAACAAAATACAAAACAAAAATAAAATCCTACACTCCGTCACCAATGTCCCCCCCCCCTTATATCTCTAATTTAGATATAAACTCAGACTTAAAAATGAAAACTATACACGAAGAAGCTAAAACCTTTTACAAACGTTTTTTCAACAAACTGTCTGATCACTCAAATCCTCTGATATCCGCTCTAGCCAGTAGCCACTCACACAATTCCTGGATACCCTCCACGACATTAAAAAAGAAACTGGTGCAGAGATCTTCCTAATGAATAACGAAAAAAAAATAGATAATAAATAATAATTAAAAAAATATATATAGTTACACCTTACACATACATATATTTAAGCAAAAGGAAGTGCGATCACTGGATGGTTTCTTCCCTCACCCTATTCATGTTTTTTAATATAATGTAGCACATATTCTTATTATACCTTTGGGTATAGTCGTATAGATTATATATTCTCTAATAATTAAAAATAAAAATAAAAAAAATTTTTAAATTTAAATGGACATACATTAAGTTGATGTCATAATATAAATCCTAATCGTGTATTTGTGTGTGTCGTATAGGTCAAATTGTACATACCTACTTGTTTATTTTGATAAAATCCTCGTGGCCAACTTGTCTTGATAACGATATCTGAACGATGAATGTTGATAATATTAGTAATCACTAGTTTCGAGCAAACCGGCATGCAGCAACTGTTAGATGCTGATGAATGTGGGTACCTACATCATTAATTTATTTTATTGTATTCGTGCATTATAAGAACTAAAATCTTTAAAGAAATCTTACATTTGACTATTCATTATTCGGTTATTTTTGATATTAATTATTTTATCTTTCATTAATATTAATTTTGTATTTTTGTGTAAGTTACAATTCTATCAACAACATCGTGATACGAAATGTAAGTTTTAATATCATAATAGATTTAATAAAATAATTATATGTGTGTGTCTAACAGTATTTAATTTTTACTGGTTAGTTTCACAATGAAGACCAAATCATCAGTGAAAACCAGCTCAGAACAACGGTTTGTTTTCAAATCAAGAAAAGCTGAACGTAAAGCCATACGCCAAATGAAAAAACAAAAAAAAGGACACTTGCAACAAATTATAACTAAAGAAGTTAAAGTACAAAAGGTAAATGCCAATAAAAAATTACCAAAAACGTCTAACACTGACTGGCGAGTATTGGATAGAAATAAAGAAAAAGTTGAAGAAATCAAATTACAAAAACAATTTGAGAAAAGTCGTCGTGAGCAAATGAAACATGCTAATGAAGATGAAGATAAGGAGATCAAAAGATTGGCCAAACATTTAAAATTGGACAAGAGGAAAACAGTTGGCAAATCTTTTATTGATGATGGACTTGATTGTATCCTTTTTTAATTATAAAACATTAGGTAGGTTGTAGGTATCTGTTTTGAATTTTTCTAGTTTTCATAAATAAAATAAACCTTAATAACTTATAATCAGACTTGTTGGATGTATGTGATCCCGAAACACGTAAGAACTGTTCATCTTTAAAAGAAAGTTTGATGGATATAGATTCAAATTTTGATGATGATTATAATACTGTTAATGCTTTAAAAAATAATAAAGAAAAGAAACAGCCAGAAATTAAATCCAAAAAAAAAGTTACTTTTGAATCATCTGATAACTTATCTAATAAAAATACTTTTGATTATAAATATGAAAATGAAAATTTATCTGATGAAGACATTGTGGACGAGGAGTTTGAAGATGAAAGTGTATCTGGTGAAGAAACTCTTGATGAAGAATATGATGATGAAAGTATGTCTGACGAAAATGATAATGATAATAATGGTGATACATTTAACTACGACTATGAAGAAGAATTTGATTATAATGATGAGAAAGAAGAAACATTTTCTGACAGTGAATCTGATGATGAAAATGTATTAGAGAATAACGATGATAAAAAACCTATAAGTATGAAAGAAGATATTTATGGTAGAATAAAGAAATCTGATGGCACTATAGTGGTAAGTTACTAGAATTAAATATTCCCTATTAAAAAATTTAATTTTGTATTTATCCTTGTGTTTTAATAATAGGAACAGTCGATAACTTATGTGCCTCCACATTTAAGGAAAAAACAAAGTGATGAATCTGAACAACTTAAACGTCTCAGGCAACAAGTTAAAGGGTTATTAAATAGATTAGCAGAAACTAATATGCATAGCATTAGTAGACAGGTGAATACATGAATTATTATTAATTTTTATAACATTAGTTATTTTAATTATTTATAGATTGAAGACTTTTATCAAGTTAACAGCCGAAACAATATGAACGAAACACTATATAAATGTATAGCTGATGCTATAATACGTTCAGAATGTGTATCACCTTACAGAATAATTGTAGAAAGTAGCACATTAATAACAGTTTTACATACAAATGTTGGAAGTGAAATAGGTAACTAAAATTATTTTTATTTTATAAATTAAATACATTTATGAGAAGTAATGGTCAATAAAATAGAATAATTAAAATTTTTTTTGATGTAATAAATATATTTTTTTAAGTCTATATATATTTTTAAATAAAATTGTTTATACAAATTAAGAATAAGATGAAAAAATATATTTGGCATATCAATAATACATATCATGTGGTCATAGGACAGTCAACATGTTAATTATTTTACATAATAATCATACAAAATTGTTATTTACTATACTTAATATAAAGATTTATAAATATAATTATGTTTTAGATAATTTATCATTGCAATTTTCTTCTTATCTAAATTTTTTATTTAACACCATTTATCTATCATTCAAGTGTATTCATAGAAATCTCATCATTATAGTCTCTACCAAGTATATACTGTTGTTGGTTTTATGTTAAATTAAATAATTTATGTTATTATTTAAAAAATAATATTTAATTGTATATTGACTTTTAGGTGCATTTTTTTTACAAAATTTGGCAACCAAATTTAATACTCTTATTGAGAGTAATAATATAAAAGTTGAAGATAAAGAATTAGATAATATTGTCCTATTATTATGTTGTCTATATGCTTTTAAAGTAAGTAAAAATCATTTTAACATTAAATAAATTTCTAATTGATTATAAACTTTATTATAATTTATTTATCTATTCCAAAAAAAAAAAAATTAAGTTTTTATTATTTATCTAATTAAATTGCCATGTGCAAGAACAATAAAGTTAATCAGGTGCAATATAATATTGTTGATATTAGCTTACTTATTAAAAATATATACTAATAAATAAATATAAGTATACATAAAATATTAATAAATATTTAATTTTGTACTCCATCTGTGAAGCAAAATATAGTCCTTAAAACGTATGATGACATATTTTATCACACAAATCAACTATTGATGTTCTAACATAGCTTTTCAGCTGGTTATTTTTCTGTTACAGATTTTAAATGTATTTCATGTTAGTGATAACTGGTAGTTTTTGTTTAATTGTTTTTTTTTTACTTACAATCTAAATTTAATGCAATGGTTAATTTTTGAAATAAAGTTAAATATTTATAATAATCTTAATCATGATAGTTTATTGTAAACACGTTAAATTCTGATATTTATATTGTTGTTACTTTTTATTATTAAGTTTTTTTCAATTGCTTTATAACTATTACATTCTATTGTTCTAGGTATTTCATAGTGGTTTTATTTTTGAAATTTTAAACAAACTACTTAATAAGTTTGAAGAAAAGCATATTGATTTAATTCTAAGTATCTTAAAAACTATAGGATTTAACCTTAGAAAAGATAGTCCTACATTAATCAAAAAATTGTTATTAGATATTCAAAAAAAAAGTTCAGATATATGTGGATCAACGACAAAGTACAAATTGAAGACATTTTGAATAGTTTTTTTTTTTCAATTTATAATTAATATTTTTTATTTTTTTATATGTATGAATTATAATTTATATTTTAATATTTTTTTTTTAGCTCTAGAGTTAAATTTATGTTGGAAATTCTGTCAGCAATTAAAAATAATAATGTAAATAAAATACCTACTAGTTCAGAACAATGTTATTCAACATACATTGAGCAAATACAAAAAGTTATACGTACTTACTACAAATATAATAAAACTCCAGCAGAATTAACTATATCCTATGAAGATTTACTTAATGGTTGGTATCATTTTTGTTATTTTAAAAAACCTACATTAACACACGATCAAAAATAATATATGTATCTTTTATTTTTGTTATAATTATCAGCTGATAATAAAGGCCGTTGGTGGATTGTTGGTTCAGCGTGGAAGGGTGATGATCAAAAAAATACTAATAACCTACAGAAAAAAGACATGTATGATAAAAAATTACTGGATATGGCAAAAAAATATCGTATGAATACTGATACAAGAAAAAACATTTTTTGTATTTTATTCACTGCTGAGGTATATTTGTTATTTATGTTTATTTTTTATAAAAAGAATCATGTTATTATACTGCTGTTAATTTAAACTTATTTTTAGGACTATTTGGATGCATTTAACAAGCTTGTTCGATTAGGTCTAAAAGGTCTTCAACAAGAAGAAATTGTCAGTGTCTTAATTCATTGTTTATTAGTTTATAAAATGTATAATCCATTTTTTGCTTATGTAGCACAACAATTATGTCAATCCAACAGAAAATATCAAGTACCTATTATTGAAAACATCTTTTATAATCTTATTATTATCAATTATTAAAATTACTTTTAGGCATTTTTCAAAAAATCAATAAATGTGCGTTTAGAAGAAATTGACAATCTGAAAAAAAATCAAATACCAATTTTGGCATCATTTTTAGCACAAATGTTACGCAATCATTCACTACCAATCACAATTTTAAAAGTAATGTTTAAATACAACCTTTTTAAAGTAATACATGTGTGTAATAAATCATTGTTTATTAGAATATTGACTGGGGAAGCCTGAACAAATTGATGGTGAGTTTTGTTCGACAAACTTTAATCAAAGTGTTACAAGATATTGATGAAGAAGAAACAACCAATATATTTCTAAAAGCATCAAAAAATCCTACTTTGCAGTTTTTCCGCGAAGGCCTTACATTATTTTTAAGTCATTTTCTTATTAAAAATGCTTCAAAAGACCTAAGTGATAATAAACTAAAATTGTTAACAAATAGAGTAAAAGTTGCACAAGCTGCATTAAACCGCTGTTAGTATGCTTGTGTGTACTACACGCATCTAGAAGCAGAAGCCCTGTTTTGCCTGTTTTGCTCTAATTGGATTTAAACTTAGTAATGACAGTAATAACATTAAACATATTTTTAATGATTCACTTTATTCTTGTCTTTTGTGAACGTAACATTTCATTATTTTATATTTTTACTAGTTATTAATAATGCCTCCAAAAGATCCAGAATTAATTGCTCTTAGAAAAGAACTAGAAGATTTAGTTGCAAAATGTCAGGTAATAACATTTGTTCACTAGTTTAACTGTATATATGTACATATTATATATTATGTATAAACACATTTATTGCATTATGTTAATTTTAATTTTTTTGAAATAAACATACATAATAATTTAATTTGCATTTTCAAGATATTTTATTATTTTTTAATTTTGCTTATCATTCCTTTATTATATGTTTATATTTTTTTATGTTACAATTAAGAAAATATGTGACATTTTGAACACAAAATATTTAATAAATTAAAATAATATTACAAACATTTAATTAAAATTAAAAATTATTACTCTACCCTTTAATAAATATTTAACGAAATAATAAGTTATAACCTACTAATAAAATAGAAAAAAAATCACTATAAATGTGTTAGTACTGCCTGTAGCCAGTATATGGTATTAAAATATATTTATGTACCTACTAAGGTTTCATATTGTACAAAAGAGACAACTATTGATTTTTAAAAATGCTAGTATATAATATATACTATGTAGACGTAATATTATCATTAGTTTTAAAAATTATAAACCATCCATATGATTTCTTCATTATAATATAATTTTCATAGTTAGAGCCATTTGCTTTATGATTTTTTTTTTTTTTATAGTTTTCTCTTGTAAGTTGTAGATAAGCATATATTCTTATTAAGTATATTGACAGTGAAACCTGCTCAGTTTCAATGACTGCCAATCCAAATAGTGAAGACTAATTTTAACTACAGAGTAAATTTAATTAATATGTTAATAAATTCTATAGTTCTATTTAAAAGTCCCACTTAATGTATTGACTTTTAACTATAAAACCTGTTGGTTGTTATAACCTTAACACAGTATAAATGCACATTTATACTGTGATACTATTTTACATTAAACTTTATGCCTATTGAGTAGAACATAAATATAAAGTCCAAAACAAGACATTTGTCTTTAAAAAAAGGTAGATAAGTGAGTATTGCTCTACTGTACATGCCAAGTGGGTGTCTGTTAAAAAAAGTCTGTTAAACCTGAATTTAATGGTAAATGATTGAATACGAAAAACGATTTTGAATGGAAACAGTCTTATCAGCTTATATCACCAAATGATAATGGTTTTTTAAAAACATTGTATTTATTATACTATTATAATAATATATGTCTATGCTATATTTTATCAACTAATATAATTCAAAATTTATTATTTAATAACATATTTCTGTAAATACCGTAAAATAGAAAAATACAATAATAACACCATGAATAAATAATACTTTAAAATAAACAAAAAATCTTATTGTGTATTATAAAATTCATATAATAGTATAAAATATACGAAAGTTTAAGTTCCCTCAGTAATATTTTTAAATTATAACAAAATAATTAACATATCATTATTTATTGTTTAAATAGGTAATTTTGTCTAAATTGAAACTTAAAATAGTAATACATATAAAATAAATGTCTTAATATATTTTTTAGATTTAATGGTTCCAATATTAGTTACTTATGAGAAATCTTATAATAAACTTTCAAAACTTAAGTAGGTACCTATTAAAAGAAAATTTTTTGTGTATTTTAACTACAAAATAGTAGTTTTTTGTAATTTTTACGAATTTTGTCAACATTTTAACTTCATATGCATACAAAAATAATTTATACCTATGTATTTTTAATGTTTTTTATAGAGGTATAAGAATATTCTATGAGGTTTGATATTACATTTTTAACCGTTTCTACCTGGCAAATAATTTTTTTTGGTCCGCTCAGAATCTAAAATATTATAGTTCAACACTAACAAATTTAACAATACAAATAGGTAGATATTACAAAATTTTAAAAATTTTGATAATTTTGACGTTATTGCAAATGTAAATCATTAATAAAATGACCTATTTATATTTTATATTTGCTTTTATGTGCCTTTGCGTAATGAAAATGTTTGTCAGACCATTAAATTGTCGTTGCCGTATACGTCTGATGCATACAATGTTCAAACAGATACCTACGTAATAATAATATTACAAAGCAAAATAAATAATATCTATTCAAATCTTTTCTTTCTAATGATAAAGATATTAGTTTTTAGTAAAAATTCATCAATTCTTAATCATTTTTATAAAATATATAGAAAAAAATAGAAACTCAGTTTAAAAAATGATTAAAAATAAAAAAAACGAAATGAAAGTTTGATTTTTAAGCTCTTTAGTGTATGAAACAAATGACGTTGGAAAGCAATGTTGTGGAAAAACTAAAAAAAAAATTAAATTTGCGTTTAAATTGTGAATGAATAATGAGTAGGACCTGGGTTTAAATGCAGTAAAAACTATTAAAAATAACCAAAAATATCTTCAACGCAATAATGTACCAAGAAATGACCCAATTTTTTTTTAATAGGCACACAAGCGAGACGAAAACGACAGTTTAACTTTCACATTCTTAAAACTTCTTTATCTTGACTAATTTAACATAATAATAAAAAAGTATTGAACTTAGGCATGATAAATCAATAAATAGTATAGCTGTACTCAAAATAAAGGCGATCTCAATGTAAGAATATAATCTTAACTGACCGATTAGTTTTTGTTTGTTTGATTCCCAATAAGACACCACATAAATCTCTATAGATAGGTAATTAAAATAAATACGTCATATCTCATATTTTCATTAAAACATTATGCCTTTGAGGTATTTGTTCAATATGAAATGATAATTATGTACTTGAAATGATATCTGTTAAAGCATCCAAAAAAAAATTTCACTTTGTATTGAAAACCGGGCTCATAAGTATTGATTTTTAAGAGGAGCACTTCATAGTCAGTTTCTAAGACATTTAAAAAAAATTTAAAAGCACAAAAATATTTAGAATTTCAATACAACTTTTAAAAATTGACAATATTTCTTCCCGTCCGTATCACATAATTATTATAATAATACTCAACCATCAAATTTTCACTATAAAATTGTGAGGTTCCCTCACACTTATAGACTGTAGAGTGTAGATACTTAATTAATATGTAGCTGGTATACGTACATATTATGATATAGCTTATATAAGAATTTAGTTTAATATTATAACAATATTTTGTTAAAACAAAAATATAAAAACAATGATGTGTCTGAAATTAGAGTTATTAGGAGATGATTGTCATAAAAATTCATTTCCAGAGCGGAAGAAGCACACTGTACAGTAGTGTAGTAAATTTTAACTTTTTAAATACTCCTCTCCTCTTCTTAAACTATAATATACGTTAAAATATGTACCTAACGATATGGTATGCAATAACTTTAAAAATGCAATTTGTTGTAAAGGACTAATTACTTTAGTTTTTAAATACTAATTATTATATAAATTAAATTTTTGTTTGTCTAGAATACGAAAATTTTCTTAATTAACTATTTTCATAAATAAATTATACCCATACACATTTTTTAAGATTAGGATTTTGTTTTGTTTTTAATCTGGCAAATTCAGTTTTTTTGGCCGGTGTTATCTTATTGGTAAGTCTGAATAAAGTTATATAATGCAACAAAATTTAAATTATACCATTATTTTTAAAAAAGTTTACAACTTAAAAAAACCAATATCACGAAAAATATCCATTATTTAGAAATTTATCAATAAAAAAAAATTTAAAAATTATTTATTTTGAAATGGTATTTTTACAATAACTTTTATGGTTTAATTCAAATTATTTAAGTATCAAGACTCAATATTGTCTATTTACCATGATTATAGCAAGACCAAAAAAGCAAACAAGACAAAACCATTGAAGAAATATCTGATGGGATGGCTGATGTGCCAAAGTGTAAATTGGTCACTAAGAAAATGCTCAAAGGACACATTAATAAAGTGAACTCTGTCCACTATAGCGGTGATAATAGGTAAAATAAATGTTTAAAATAACAACCAAATGTCCAAATACCAAAACATAATATACAATATACTTACCACTATTCTCGGAATCTACATTATAATTTTATAATGAATAAAACATGATGTCATAATAATGAAATAATTTATTTAACAGACACGCAGTTTCCGGATCGCTGGACGGCAAACTTATCATATGGGACACATGGACCGGTAATAAAGTACAAATCATACCATTACGTTCAGCCTGGGTTATGTCTGTGGCTTTTGCACCTACGGGCAATTATGTCGGTTAGTATACAAATATTATATAGGTTTCAATATATTCTATCAATCGGACGTCGAATACGTATACCAAGCGAAGCAATTCTACTAATTTTTATTGAGTGGTGGGTGGATAGATGGGTGTGCCGTTAGTCATAAAACGTGTTGAGGGTGATGAATATGAATACAAATAACGACAAAAAGCAATAAAATTCGAAAATATATGATGACACCGTTATTTTGTTTTTAAATTTTACTTGAACATAAAAATATGTGTTTTGCAGCTTGTGGAGGAATGGATAATATGTGCACTGTTTACGATTTAAATAATCGTGACTCGAATGGAGGAGCGAAAATGGTACGCGAATTATTGGGTTACGAGGGTTTTTTGTCTTCTTGTCGGTTTGTCGACGATAAAACTCTAATCACTGGATCTGGAGACATGAAACTGTAACTATTTTGCATCTAAATTTATTACCTATACGTATAATTGTAATGCTTTTTTTGTATTATATGTACTTAACATAAATAGTAGGTACACACCATAAAATTATAAAACATAATGTGATAAAATATAATTTAGTAGGTAAATGGTATATACATTATACTGGTATGTACATAATGTACATACCTTTGTACCCCATGCTGAGCCTACAGTAGAAATTAATTCTAATTAAAAGTTAAACTGGTTGGATTTGAATTTATTGATTGTATACGTACTTACTTATTAATGTATCAAAAAAATTTATTAATTTGTTCGTGTTTTAACTACACAGTTGTATGTGGGACCTGGAAGCTGGTAAAAAAACAAGTGAAATAGAAGCCGCCCACTGTGGAGATGTCGTTTCTTTATCATTGTCATCTGATCAAAATATTTTCGTGACGGGCAGCGTGGATAAGACTTGTAAATTATGGGATCGCAGGGAACTGAAATGCAAACAAGTGTTTTTTGGACATGAAGCTGACGTGAATTCTGTTTGTGTATGTTTCTTTTAAATTTATAATACTTGTTTAGTTATAATGTTAGCAATTATAATTTATAATAATGATTAAACGTCTTGTGTTTTGTTACAGTTTCATAACAGTGGATTTGGGTTTGCTACAGCTTCGGAGGACAAGTCCGCACGTCTATACGACATTAGGTCTGATCAACAAATCGCTATGTACAAACCACCAAATTCCACTTCAGGATTCACTTCGTGTGGCCTATCGGTATCCGGTAGATTTCTGTTGGCTGGTAGCGATGATAACTCGATTCATGTGTGGGACACGATGAAAGTCCAACACAACGGTAATTATATATGTTATCCATGATTAGAAAATTATTATTAGTCATAAGCTCATAACACAATTAATCTATACGATAACTTGAGTTCAGTTAATAAATATTGGTGATTCAATAATAGTGACCCAGAATTGGACATTTCTATTAACATTTATACACGCTTTAACAAAATTTAAGTTAATAGGAAAATTTCGTGTAGACAAATTATTAATTTAATCTATGTATGTTACGCATCATGGTTGGATTTAAAAACTAATATGTTGCTTAGTTGAAATCTTGACAATCTAGTATAAATACTTAAGTAGACATTTGAAAATCACAGATGATGCTTTAATAGCATATATTATTTAACTTCAGTCGTGTAAGTTTAGAAAGTGAGTAAAATAATTAGTGTTCCGAATCTATATAATTTCAAATTTTTAATATATTTTGGAATTCTGTGTAGAATTTTACCAGTTATCACTAACAACTATGTGAATGTACATATCTACCTCCGGAAATATCACAGTATCACACCTACATGTAAGCTCACACCCTTCTAAACGTGCCAAGCGAGCCACTACAAAATACTGAAATATTCAGGTGACAGGTGAAAGGATCTTCATTTTTGAGAATAAAAGGGTTTCTCGCAAGTCTCAGGATGTAAGTCCCATAAACTTCGATGCATTTCAAAATCCAGCCATGATAATACTATAAACTACGGTCTAGAGATGCACCTAATAAATAATAATATACGTTATGTTTTACTACGGCAGGTACTTTAAATGGACACGAGAACAGAGTGACTTCTTTGAGTGTATCGTCGAATGGTATGTCTGTGGTCACGAGTTCCTGGGACATGAATGTACGTGTTTGGGTTTAAACGTGGAAATTGTTACGTACTTATGATTACCTAAAATGACTTATGTTAAATTCACCTAATTATAGGTAGATAACATAAATATATATAGTTACACTAAAATTTATTGTATTCATTCAAATAATTAAAACCAAAATATGATTTGTAAAATATCGAAAAACTATATTATGTATAATTACATGCTTATTCAACGATAACGCGACCTTAATACATTTCATCATTATTTGTCACGCTTTCCATCCTCTCTACTACCCATAGTAAGTAATATTAAGGTATTGCGAAAAAATAAAATCGTCTAGGTATTGTATCTTTGTAACTATCAACTGTCAGTCTATAATGTGTTAAAGTCTCGTTACCGTTACACAGTGTTAATTTTACTAAAATTTTAAACACAATACATATAATACTAAGTGAACTATTATGATTTTGAGTTGTCTTAATTTTTGTTTATTTATTATCATTCATGCTAATATCATTTTTTTTGGTCAGTATTAGTTTATAATATTACAGATATTTATTCATTAAGCATATGTTTTGTCTTAAGATAATAATCATAATGTTAAACATTTATTATCATTTATTGATGTAGGTAGATATATCATAAATATGTAAGGTATAACCACATTATTAATTATAACACTAACTAGTGAATAGTGATGTATCCATTTAACAATGTACCTATTAAATTTATTATTTGACCATTGGTACCTAATTCCATTGCATGTTATATATCCGTTATTAACAACTAACCAATATATAAGGTGATTATTTTAAAGGTAAAAATGCATTTTATTTAATAGAGAAATAGTATTTAAATTTGGAAAAATATAATTTTTCTTACTTATTTTATTTATTTTTTTTTTTTTTGAATAAACAATGTCAATTGGGGATATTGAAAGGTTTAATTATTTACTTAATTTAGTCATTCAAAATTCACATTTTTAAAATAAATTATATTTTTATTATTAAATTGTTTAAGGTTTTTACTTTTTTGAATGAAATTTTACATTATTAATTTCATCTATTAAAACAGAATATTTGTCTAATAATTTTAATATATATAAAAAAAAGAAATTTAATAAAATGAATAATTAATTAATAATTAGTTATAACTTATAATTACCTATTTAAAATACAGATGAGCGGAATAGTGAAATGTGGACTGACAGAGTACGTATTTTTTCGGAGTTTTACTACAGTGTTCTTCCACTCCTATAATTAAAACTTTAAATACATACTAATTATTTATATATATAATTTAAAGTCCATTAACTCGATTTAAATTCCATTTATATTTACCAGTAATGCTGCCATCAAGAAAAGTAAAAATATACATTTTTTGAAAAAAAAAAATTTTAAAAAGAATTTTCTGTTGTGACTTCAAAATATAAAAAAAAAAATCCAAAAACTAACGCTTTTGTAGAAAATGACTTATTACCTTTAAAATCACTTTGGAATCTTTGAATACTTATGTAATATATTAATACGTATAATAAATAGTAAATATAAGCTAATCAATGAATTAATATTCATTCAATAGGTACAATACATTTTTAATTTATGGTTTCTGGGTAGAATATAATAATATTAATATTAACTTATAGCTAAGTAACTATAAGTAAGGAATTAAATAGGTATTTATGTGGTGTACATATAGGGGAGGAGGCAAAACTTATAGTAAAATTTCATATTCACTTAAAAAGTTACAATACATTATGTCATAACGTATGTAATATGTGTAAGCCATAATTATGTGGCTACTACACAATTGGGATATGTTATCCCAAAATTTAACACTTTTGGGCACGAAATAATATAATACGTTTGGGCACTATTTTTTACGATGTCGTAACATGTTTAAGCAACGACAGTATTATAAATTATAATTTATAGATTATGTTGATTTTTATAAACGTCAGAACGTAACGTGAATATAGGTACTTTTTATATTAGTATATAAAATATAAATACATTTATAAGTTAGAAATCATATATTGCATAAAAATGAATTAAAACTAAAAATTTCTAATAGCGCGTCATGCTAACGGTGTGTACGAATTTTAACAATGTAAATCGATAAGAAATTATAGTAGCTTCAATTAATTCGGTACCACAGACAATGTAAAAAAACCATCTGTAATTTTCTACCATATTTTTATATTATTTTATATTTACCATAATTTTACTAAATAATTACACAAATTTGACGTAGGTATCATATTTTTCAAATTTTCAAATAATTATTATAAATATTATTTGTACCTTTTATACTATTATAATTTATAGTAAATTATATATAGGTAGTCATTTATATTAAAGTCCTTACCCACGTTATTCAATGGAAGTAGCAAGATTCAGTAAAATAACTTTAATGAGCGTTAATGAATAAGTAGAACTTACCATGTTCGGAGGAACTTGTTCAGTCATTCGATAAAAAACTATTTCCAATTTTTAAAAAATAATTATGATTATGAAGCTACATCTAAACAGATTGCTGATTGAGTTTAAATTGTAAATAAATATTAAACAATACTTTTTTTTTTTTTTTTAATTTCCACTGTTACTATTTGTATACCTGTATGCTTACTCTTTAGTTTTGATTATATATGTAGCATACTAATATATCAGAGATGAATCGAAAAGGGTCATGTTACATGGGGTTGTGAGTTGTGATACTCGGCAGAAATATTAGACTTTCGGTCGGCAATCGGCACTCAGCACATAATATGTTCAACATTTCTAAATCAGCAATAAAATTATTAAATTATTTTAATGGCTACGCCATATGTATCTGTTATATCTGAGATACATACATTTTAAAATCTTTGATCAAAATTATTTGAGGAAGTGGATAGTTAGGTACATAGAAATGTAACGAGATTAAAAAGTGATAACAATAATTTCATCATTTTATTTCGCTAAAACTTAACAAAGAAAAAAATGCGTTTTATTATTTTCTTTTTATTGGATTGAACTATCTCTATAATAACTTGAATATGTATACCTAAAACATAGGATTTTGGAATTTAAAATCAAAACATTAGTCAGCTTGACGTGTCAGTTCAAAAATCTTAACCAGCCCCTGTAGGCAATAATCTATACGACTAAACTATAATTATATAGATTGCCAGATTGTTCTGTATTATCGTTTATTTTAGGTAGATACATAAGTACGTTTATTATATGTAATGATCATTACTCATCAAATGTATTGCTCCGTGATTAAGCATACTCAATACTCAATCTCAAATAATTACCACAGACCACAGTTCTATAATAATGTTGCTTTCACACTCGTACCGCTAGGTGGCGAAACTTGTGTTGTTCATGTCCGGTCCGGTGCGCATGCTCTTCCGGTAACGCGATAAACTAATCTGGTGGGCGAATCACACACCGAGAACCGTAGTCCGTAGATCGTTTATACCATAATATATCATGGTGTTCAATTCTCGATGTAAATTTATAAGTGATACCGTTTGTTGTTCACTGACTACTGTTTACTGTTTAGTCGTCCTCTGGTAATCGTACATGTGCGGTTGTCCGGTACTGATAGTTATTGTCGTCGACCATCAATTAGTGCAATAATTTGCAATTGGCGTAAATTTAAGTGTATCGACTCCCAGTACTCACAGAGCGAATTTTAAACTGTTATGTATTTAATAAATAATTGAATAGTCGTCAAAACGATGAAAACCCCATTCGGCGTTTGCATAGCCGTTTGCGGCTTGTTCTTCGCATTGGACTTTGCGTCCACCGAAAAAGACGTGAGCGCCAAAAGTGATCTTAGTGAGTATAATTTATTGTTTCACAACGTCTAGTATGTTATTTTTATAACCTATACGAAAGTAAATCGTGCTAAAAACATCACTCTTCAACGTCTCTGCGGTTCTGAGTTAATTCATGTTCTAGAACATGTAAATTCAAAAACAAAATTGTAAATATCTAATTCAACATTTATGTAGATACAATAAATCAACAATCAGTGTAATTTCTAATTTCTATTTCAATAAAAAATATATTAAATATTAAGTGCCTACCTATGTGGCTATGTAGAAATATTGACAAACAAAAATTAACAATAAATAGTACAGTGGCATTAATACATTTTTTTCACAGGATGGATTTTTATTTAATTTTTTATTTATTAAACTCATTTGATAGGCTAACTCATAAATACTTAACAAAAATTTTATTTTTATTTAAAACTAATTGGTGATATTATTATTCATAGTAAAAAATGTAATTAAATACCAATTTTTTATTTGTTTGTTAATTTTATAAAATAAAAAATTCTCTCATCTTTTAATTGATTACTTATACTTCTTCTGGGTTAATGTGTATCGAATCAATATGCAACTGTGTAATTAGTTGTCACTTGAACTATCTTACTTGTTGTATGCTGCGGAAAATTAATTGACAAATTTTAATTAAAATGTTTTTGATCAAAGATAGTTGTAATAGACAAATGTATACAATCATACATTATACATGTATTAATTATGATATTTTTCTAGATATCATTCGAATTTAAAAATATAAATACTTGATTTATTCTTGCAAATTTCAGATCATACTTGATCATTTTTAATATTATACACTGCCATTCTTAATTGGCTTGTAATTAATTCAATTGTTAAATATACTAGTTATTGATTACAGAAGAGTTAAAATTAAGCATTAAAAGTTCTTGATTTAATAAGAAAAATGTATGAGCAATGACTTCTGAATTTAAATTTAAGACTTTATAAAACTAGTCTATTTTGAAGTATGGAGCTGTTTTGTAGAATCTTTATTCTAAATACTTCATGTAAAATTAATCAAATTAAGCATGTAAACATTTTCTTACTAATGATTTTCTTAAGTAGGTATATAGGTATACTCTTATCTTTTATGAATTATTTACAACTAGTGATGGTAAAAATCCAGATTTTTGGATATCCTGATCCAAAATTTAATAATCGAATATTTAAAATTTTTACATATCTCATGATTATAAAAGAAAGTTTTAAAAATATATTGACGGTTGATAGAGTAGGTAAAAGTTAATAGCATTATATTTCATATCATAGAATATAGATCGTGTCTTTTTAATAAGTAAACAACAAGTTTAAAATATCCAAATTATTCCGAATAGTATTGGAATCCGAATATTAGTGACATCACTATTTACAACATATTTAGTCAAAAATATAGAAAAGTATATAATAAATTAAAAGTATAATTTTATTAAAATAATATTAATAATACATTTTTAATATGTCTAATTAATTATTAACATACATGATAAATAGTATTGAAAATATCAAACTTTGGAACTGTTATACAGCTTAATCATTATATTTTTTACTTATCACTATCATCTACCATACATTTTTTCTCATAGATTTAATAGTTTGTTTCTAGTTCTTAGAAAAAAAAATTAT